ACTAACCGGTGAAGGGCCTCGAGGTTAATGCCTGGGCTCGGGCTCGAGCTGTCGGGGGTAACCAGGAAGGGACTAACAGTTGGAATATAATTAAAGCAGGCTCTTTATGGACGATACCAAGCGATAAATGAAGAACAAGTATGAAAGTAATAAGCAATAACAATAGCGTCGAGAGAATATATTAGAGAGAAAACAGAGAGTTGTTATTGATCTTGTGTAGAATAGTTGGAGCAACAGCAGCACCTTACAAAGTGGTGAGGATCCCCTTTATATAGGAGGGGAATCCCGTCATAGTACAAAATACATTAATTGCAAAGGCATGGAGATGGGACGGCTAGACGCGACGCCTTGATACAGGCTCTGGGTAGGCCGACTTTGTCTCTTAGCCGTGTGTCTTGGGAATTACCCATTTTACTCTAGCCTCGATTTGTATCCTCTTTAAGTCGAACCTCGACGAGCTCCGGGGGAGGGAACTCGGTCACACCTTCGCGTCCTCGGGGTTTCGAGGTGTTCTTCTGAAGTGACTCGATAGCAAAAAAATTAGACCCTCTGATTTCGCCGTATACATTAGTTTTTCAATCCCTCTACAAAATTTATTTGATTACTAATTGGGATGGAATACCTGAAAAATGTTGTCTAATATAAACGAATATTTCCAATAAAAATTCTATATGTTTGCAAAAGGAAAAGTCTGAAACATGAAATAGGATGCAGGAAATAATTAAATCATGATAACAAAGTTATAACACTTTTTTATGTATCAGTCAAACATATTTAAATCAGTACCAGTATGAGTTATAACACCAAACAAAAATAGAGAATAGCTACATTATCAACATACCTATTTACATGTTCCGACGTGTCCAACTCCACATTGTCAATATTTTATCTTTTCTGTTTCTTCTTCTTCTTGGTTGATATATCCAAATTGCCATTGCCTAATAAAAGCTCTTCCGTTATCACCTACCATCCATGAGCAAGAGATGCAGGCGAGGATTCCTGAAAACAAATATCAAACATCATATGAACGAAATAAAAATGACAATTTCTTAGCTTTCAGCATATCAGATTGATTCCATTTGGATTGATTAATTGTCTTCTGCAAGAAAGAATGTTTACAACATTTTACTACAGTCAATTATCTCTGATGTTCTGACCTTCCATAAGTAAAATTAAAGTAATCATAAAAATTCTTATTGCTCAATTAGGAAGTGCGAAGTTCATCTCTTACCTCTAAAATATGAGTCACCTACAAATCACTATCAAATAGCTTCTCCATTAAAAGCCTTTCTCCTTTCTTCCCCTTGAAATGGAAAAAAATTCAATGTGCCTCCGAAAACCTTTCAATTGCTTGAAAATAAAAGTTTAATTGAAGGTTTAGAACCCCAATTTCAAACCCTAGCCTAAAATCTCTAATTTCTTGATGAAATTATAATGTAAAAACATTACCTGCACCCAATAGTTTAGGAATCTTTGTTTGAAGTCGGAATTTAGTTCCCACACTGCAAATCTGCAATGGAACCCAAATAGAAGAAGATGAAATCAGGAAGCAAAAATCAAAAAGGAAGAAAACTTACCAGAAAGAGGAAAGGAAAAAGGCAGAAGAAAGAGCGCATTAGGTGCATTGGCGCTTAAAAACACTTTTAAGTGGCTAAACTAATTTAAAAAATAAGCAGTTAAAATTTTGAATAAGTAGAATTTTGTTTTAAAAAAAATATTTTAGGGATTGAATAGTTAATATTTTGGTCAAACTTAAAGTGTTTATAAGCTGAAATTTGATAAGTTGGGGGAGACCAACTATGACTTTTGACTTATTTTTGGATTATAAGCACTTTTAATTTTATCAAACGCGTAGATAAGCCAAAAAGTGTTTATAAACCCGTTTGACCAGCTTATAAGCTTAGCCAAATCCCTCAAAGATGAGTGAGAATTGAAAATATGAGTAGTTTTCTTTGATGGCAAAGAAGAACGAAAGAAAGGCCAAAAGCTAAACACACGTGGTGTTTCAATTTGGACACCCGGAAGTATACAAGTCCGTTCTTTTACCATAATACCCTATGAAGCAAGTGACATTTTACGGTAATACCCTTCATCATATGAAGGACCTTTCCTTATTATTAGTTAAGTTAAACTAGATGAGCCGGAGAAAGACTTTTGCTTTGGAATATTTACATACTTATACACTATTGGAAACTTCATTACCTTTCTTACTCAAGTGTAAATTTAATTACATCCTATATACAAATTTATCAATTATATACACTTTAGGAAATAAATGAGTATCCCTTTATATTAGAAATCAATTATTTTCCATCCTTATTCTCTCTCCCTCATGCGCTCTGTCACGACCCGAATTCTGCCTCCGTGAACTGTCGTGACGGCACCTAGTCTCTACGACTAGGTAAGCTTAACAATTTGCGGAAAAAGAAATTTAAAAGTACAACTAGTCATCCAACAGGTAAATACAGATAAAGTATTTAAAATGCCGCTCGGCATACACAATAATAATACTATCGACCAATAATAACACTCCTAAAACTCGAAATCTCATGAATCACAAGCTAAGAAAAGAAAATACATAAAGTTTCTAGCTCCAGAAGTCTAATAACAAGGAAATACAGGGAAAAAGCCTAAAACTAAAGGGAGGGTAGAGAGGGACTTCTAGGTCTGCGGACACGGAAGATATACCTTGAAGTCTCTGAATCGCCTCGCCTCACGGATAGTATGGTCGAGCAAAAGAACCTAGATCTCAACACAAAAAATATGTGCAGGAAAGGGCATAAGTACACCACAACGGTACCTAGTAAGTGTCAAGCCTAATCTCAGTCGAGTAGTGACGAGATCAAGTCAGGGCCCTACTGGTTATATATATATAACAAGGAAAAGTAATATGAAATGAGACAATATAATTAAATGCTAACAGTCAATAAGGATGAAATCACATAAAGAAATAACTCAATACACAGAGATAGCAACAGGGGATCTACCAGGATAGCGTCCCATACTCCCAAACGTAAATGTGCGGAGGATCTCCTCGGATATCGTCCCGTAGTCTAAATCGTAAATATGAAGAGGGATCTCCCGGAATACCGATCCGTAGTCCCAAAGTAAACATGCAGGGGGATCTCCCGGAATACCGATCCGTAGTTCCAAAGTAAATACACAACAGTCTCAAGAAAGAATTTTACAATTTCTATTCAAGTTCGTATTAGGAAAACAGGAAGATTTCTACTGTAAACATGCTACACAAAATCCAAGTAAGCAGTTAAAGCAGGTAAGGCAATTAAGTCATATAAGCATACTTTCCTAAGCTAAACATGAGGCTTCATATACTAGTGTTGCTCAGATAAAAGAAAATATAGATATTTACTTAATGAAAACGGGGTTTTTCAACAATTAGCACATGTACGCACTCGTCACCCACGTACACAACATTCATATAACAACAGTACCAAAATCTTAAGGGGAGTTCCCCCATGCAAGGTCAGGCAAACCACTTACCTCGAACTAGCTCAAAAATCAATCTGATATCACGTTTTTGCCACGAATATCCAACTCCGGGTGGCCCAAATCTATTCAAATTAATATCATAACGTAAATATAACTACAAACAACTAATTTAGCTAATAAAATTGAAGCTAAGGCAAGAAAATAAAAAAAAACGCCCAAAAATCCTCCTCGGGCCCACGTCTCGGAATCGGGTAAAAATCATAAATTACGAACACTCATTCACTCACGAGTCTAATCATACCAAATTCACTCAAATCCGATACCAAAATCTAGATCAAAATCCCAAAATTAGGCCTAAGAACTTTTCTCAATTTTCCCATATTTTTCACCCTAAATCCGAAATTAGATGATGAATTCATATTTAGATTAATGAGACATAATCAAAAAGGAGTTAGGAATTATTACCCACAAACTTCCTCCGAAAATCTCTCCAAATTTCGCCTCCTACCGAGCTCCCAATCCAATTTTTGAGTTATGAACTCGAACCCTCGATTTTGGAATTTAAATTCTGCCTAGACGTGTTCTTTTATGCGAATGCGAGACTACTATCGTGAATGCAATACACAAAAATCCTCTGGCCAAATTTCCTCCTTCGCGAACGTGAGGGTCCACTCGTGAACGCATAGCTTCAGCTCCAGGACCTTCGCGAACGTGACCCTTTACTTGCGAACGCGTAGAGAAATTTCCTAGGGTCCCCAGCTGCTCCGCCTTTCATCTTCGCGAACGCGCTCAGCTCCTCGTGTTCGCAATGCTTCCACTGGCCGCCTTCGCGAACGCGATCTCCCCTTCACGAATGCGAAGGCCAATTGTCTGCAACAGATAAACCAGCAAATCTGTTGTACTTCTAAGTCCAAAAATGACCCGTTGAGCATCCAAAACACACCCAAGGCCCCTCGGGACCTCAACCAAACATACCAACCAATCCTAAAACACCATACGAACTTAGTCAAGCCCTCAAATCATACCAAACAATGCTAAAATCACGAGACACCCTCCAATCCAAACTTAATGAACTTGAAATTTCAAAATCCTACAACTGATGCTGAACCCAACCAAACCACGTCCGATTGACCCCAAATTTTGCACAAAAGTCATATTCAACACTACTGACTTATTCTAACTTCCAGAATCAGATTCCGACCCCGATATCAAAATTTCACTACCGGTCCGAAAATTTCAAAAAATTAAATTTCGACATTTCAAGCCTAAATAAGCTACAGACCTCCAAAACATAATTCGGACACGCCCCTAAGCCCAAAATCACTCAAAGAAGCTAACGGAACTGACAAAATTCTATTTTGGAGCCGTCTTCACACTATTCTGACTACGGTCCAAATTCTAAGGCTTAAGCTCTCATTTAGGACTAAGTGTCCCAAAATACTCAGAAACTCAAAATGAATCATCCCGTCAAATCAAAATAGAAGAAATAAATACGGAAAAAGTAGTTAATAGGGGATCGGGGCATAAATTCTCAAAACGATCGGCCGGGTTGTTACACGCTCTATCTCTTCGTCTCTCTATCTCTCTTTCATGCTCTCTCTCATGCTCTTTCTATCTCTCAATCCGTAGTTCTAGTAGTGTAGAGCAAAGAAAAAGAGAGTTGCAACTCCACCATTGACAGCCATTAAAAAGCTTTGAAACTTTGAATTCGAATTTGGGTTTTTAAAGAATTTATTTGTTTGAATTGGATGTTGTTGCAAACAATTGGGAATTATCTCTACGATCATCTCTATCTCTCAATCCTTAATTCCAGTAATATAAAGCAAAGAAAAAGAGAGTAGCAATTCCACCATTGACAGCCATTAAAAAGCTTTGAAGTTTTGAATTCGAATTTGGGTTTTCAAAAATCATTATTTGTTTGGGATTGGGTGTTGTTGCAAACAATTGGGAATATGGTTTGTAATTTATATCTCAATTTTGAGGGTATTTGGTAAAGATTAGACTTGATTTTAGCTGAATTTCAGATTGAAACTTGAAGAAGAAGAAGACATGACATACATTATACTTACGAAAATGTACTAAAATTGTAGAAAAATTGTATTTTGTTGTTTATTGTCACGACCCTAAACTTGGACCCGGTTGTGATGGCGCCTCTCGTGAAGACAAGGCCAGCCAATTAAACTTGTCACACCTCCTTTTGGCCCGCGCCCGCAGGGGCACAGAGGGAGTTTTTCCAATTAAAGGACAATCGAAACGGGATTTGTTGTTTAATTTAGAGTCGCCACTTGGGAGATTTATGGTGTCCCAAGTCACCGGTTTAATCCCGAATCGAGGAAAAGAATGACTCTGTTTAACAGTCAGCGTACCAGAAATCCGGATAAGGAATTCTGTTAATCCGAGAGAAGGTGTTAGGCATTCCCGAGTTCCGTGGTTCTAGCACGGTTGCTCAACTGTCATATTTGGCTTATTTATCTGATTTTAATACATTTTGAACCTATGTACCAATTTTAACCTTGAACCGCTTTTATCATTTATTATTTAAAGAATTGCAACGTCGTGAGAATGCATCTCGAATTGCGCCACATAAATGTACCCACAATTTTCGATACGTTCCAACTTCGTTGAGATTTGGATTTGGGTCACATAAATGTGCACCCAAGTTTAGGAATATAACATTATTAAATACACGCCTAAAGATACTAACGCGTTATTATTTTGAGAAAAGTCGTAAAGTTCGCTATGCGGCCTATCTCGAAATCTAAGCATTTGAAATACCTATCCGTTGAGGGCCTCGCAATTTGTAATTTATTCGGCGAGGCACGCCTCACTTATTTTTAAAAGGGCTAATCAGCCACTTCTATTATTTATTATTTTTAAAGAGATTGCAACGTCGTGAGAATACATCTCGAACTGCGCCACATAAATGTACCCGCAATTTTGATACGTTCCAACTTCGTTGAGATTTGGATTTGAGTCACATAAATGTGCACTCGAGTTTAGGGAGGTAACATTATTAAATACGCGCCTAAAGATGCTAACGCGTTATTATTTTGAGAATGCCGCGAAATTTGCTAAGACGGCATATCCGGAAACCTAAGTGTTTATCATAAGCACCTATTGAGGGCCCCGCAGTTTGCAACTTATTAGGCGAGGCACGCCTCGTTTATTTTAAGGATATCCTAAAGCGACTATGGTTCTCTATTTACTTTTGTCTCAA